GCTGAAGCCGCTGGTCATCGGGCAGCTGCCAGACCCACCCAGCCTGCGCCACCACAGCCAGGACAAATTCCCTGCCTCCTACCGCTACAGCCCGGATGCCTGGCTCAGCCGCCCCCTGCTGCGGGGCTGGTTCTTTGAGGAGTTCGTCCCGGGCGTCAGGCGATACCTGCGCCGCAGCTGCCTGCAGCAGAAGGCCGTGCTGCTGGTTGCCCACCCACCCTGCCCCAGCCCGGCTGCCAAGATGCCCACCCTGGAGGAGGGCGAGGAGACCCCCAGGAGGTGCCGGCCTGAGCCCCTCGGCTCCCCAGAAGAGCTGCAGACCCCTGACGGGGCTGTGCGGGTGCTGTTCCTGTCCAAGGGCAGCAGCCAGGCGCACATCCCTGCCCCACTGGAGCAGGGTGTGGTGGCTGCCTTCAAACAGCTGTACAAGCGCGAGCTGCTCCGGCTGGCCGTGTCGTGCGCTGGGGGCTCCCCGCTGGATTTCATGCGCAGCTTCATGCTCAAGGACATGCTCTACCTGGCTGGCCTCTCCTGGGACCTGGTGCAGGCAGGCAGCATCGAGCGCTGCTGGCTGCTGGGCTTGCGGGCCGCCTTTGAGCCCCGGCCTGCGGAGGAGTGTGCTGGGCAGCCAGCTGGCCAGGCCGAGGAGGCTGCAGAGCACAGCAGGGTGCTCAGCGACCTCACGCACCTGGCAGCCCTGGCCTACAAGCGCCTGGCCCCTGAGGAAGTGGCCAAGTGGCTGCACCTGGATGATGATGGTGGGCTGCCCGACAGCTGCAGGGAGGACGCGGGCCCCAGCCGGCCTCCTGTACTGGTCCCTGGGGCCCCTCCACCCCCAGCCAGCCTACTGTCTGTCATGGCGGGCAGAGAGGAGGAGGAGGATGCCGCTGTGCCCACTGCAGGGGAGGCCGTTCGGGGTCTGGAGACGGCTCTGCGATGGCTGGAGAGCCAGGACCCCCGGGAGGTGGGGCCACTGAAGCTGGTGCAGCTTCGCTCACTGATCAGCATGGCCCGGAGGCTGGGGGGCATCGGGCCCTCTCCCACAGTTCCTGATGATGGGTTGTGACCCAGCCAGCCTGAGCAGCCCCCCAGTGGCCTTTCTCCTGCTGCATTTGGAGGAAGGGGACACATCGTCTCCCCTTTCCACCTCCTCCCTCCCTTGGGGTGGCCCAGCCCATGGCTCAGGAGTTGCAGGATCCCAGCCCAGCCTGGCTCCGAGGAGCTCTGTAGGTGAAGGGTCATCCCCTCCACTGGTCCCCCTGACTCTTGTAGGGGTAGCTAGAAGAGGCCCCGGGCTCCTGCCCCCTCCTTCCTGGGCAAGCACACATGTTGGGTCTGTGCTCTTAGCCAGCCCCCCCCCCACGCAGGCCTAGCAGACACACACACATCACAGCACTTTACAGAGCAGTTTGCTGTGTTCCCACCCTGGCCCCTGTGGGGCTGAGGCCTCCAGCCCCACTCCTGCCCACACCTCCTACTCCCTGACCCCCGCCTCCAGGGCCCAGCACTTACACTGGACAGGGGCCGGCACACCCCTCTGACTGGGCCCTGATGCTGTGTGATTCCCACACCATAGCCGCTGGTTGTCTCAACGGGAAGCACAGCAGTCGTTTCTGGTTTTAGTGCATTAAGTCCATTTTTACGGATACTCTCCAGGAACCCAGAGGGGTGTCACTCCCCAACCCGGGCCATCTTGGAGGGCGGGCAGCTGCGTGGGCTGGAAGGGAGAGCGGGGCCTCCTGAGGCTCCGGACGCAGCAAGGGGTGCAGGTTTGTGGTCCACTCGGATTTTCAATTTTCCTTAAGAAAATTCCATCCTGAGCAGCTCTCATTCTGTGGGGCTGACGAGCACTAGACCTGAGCCCTGGTGACCAGACCAGTGAGTGGACCAGCCACGGTCCACTTCGTCTGGCTCCAGGGAGCTGCCCTGTGGCACTGACAGCCACAGACAGGACAATCCTTGTGCCTTTGCTCCCTCCAGGGCTCCTCCTGCCCAGCCCACCCCCCCGAGGCTTCCTCCTCCCCTGTCTTGGCACTGCTGAGGGTGTGGCCCACAGCCCGGGGATTTGGCGTCTGGGTTGCACATTTTGAAAGGAGAAGGGAAGGGCTCCTGTGTTCCTGTCCAGCTCTCATTCTGCTCCATCAGCTCTACATTCAGGATTCCTGCTGGTGATCTGAGGCCGAGATACCCAGATCTCCCAGAGGCTGCTCTGCAGAGATGTCCAGAGCCCTTGTGAGGGGCAGGGGGCCTGGATTTGAGGGGCTGCGTGCATATTGGCACTCTCCCCTCATCAACTGCCTCATCTTTCCGGGGGTCCAAGACTGCAGAGGCTGCAGAGGTGATGTTCGTGGTAGGGAATGGCTGCGCTGTGGGGAGGCAGCTGGGGTGCCCTTGGAGCAAGCAGGTAAACTGTTCCTTGGAACCATCCCTGGCCAAAAAAGTGTACTTGAGGATGTGTATATGTCAAATCCGAAAGCTAGGGAAAGGTGTGGAGGATTTGGGAACAAGAGAAGGGAGGCTTGGCTGGCCAGGCCAGGCCAGCAGCCTCCTGCCACACCTGCTGGGGCCCAGCTGGCACATCCGCTGCCAGCTGTCTCAGGCCCACACACCTGCAGGAGGCAGACTGCAGCTGGACCTGGATCTAGCCAAGCAGCTGGCAACAGGCTTCAGGACAGCTTGCATTTTACTCCATCTGCCTTTTTGGCTGGTAGGGACCCAGCCTGGGGCTCCTGGTCACAATAGCTGGTCTGCTGGGCCTCTGCTCTGCTGGGCCTGTCTGCAGGAGTGTGTGGAGACAGAGACCTCAGGCCCCACGTGGGCAGTGGGTGAGGGTGGCCTCAGCAGCGCCCTGCAGCCGCCATCAGTGCCCCCCCTCTTGCTGAGTCTCCCTCTTCTCCCCATGGGCCTGGGTGGGGAGGCTGCAGTTAGTATTGGGAACCAGTGTCAGGACAGAACCTGCTGCCTCCCTCTCCTCACGTCCCACCAGTCTCGTCCCCTCTAGGGAGCCAAGGCTGCACCCTAGGAGGTGGCTCTGGCAAGTCCCCATGGCCTTGGGTGTGCCCTGAGTGAACGAGGCACAGCACAGGATGGTCTGGGAGCCCTCTTTGCTGGGCCAGGACCTCCTCTAAAGGTATCCTCTCAAAAATGGAGCTATTGGTGCCATGAGGCAGAAGCCATGGGCCCTGAGCCCTGCACACGGAGGGGGTGGCTCTGCCCCTGAGGGTGGCCTCAGACATGGGTCCTCCGAGCCGGAGGCCTGCAGCAGAGTGTGGGTGGCGGGCGGGCACCTGGGGCCCCACCCCAGCTTTGGTGGCTGTCACTCCCTCCCTGGGCTCCTCTTAGTGTGAAACCATGGGACGGCCTGGTCAGAGCTTCCCACGGGGGACGCTAGAGGCTGTCTCTGCAGGAGAATGGCCAAAGTGGACCCCAGCTGGGTGGCCTCCCTGCTGTTGGCCTGCTGGGCCCCAGGTCTTTTGAGTTTGCCACCCTGGTGCACAGTAAGGAGAGAGAGGTGGTTGATGGCACCAAGGGGGATGCTGGAGTTGGCGCTGCTAGTGTCTTCAGCAGCCATCACCTGCAGCACTGGGCACCATGCCGGAGACAAGCTTTCTTGCCCTGGAGGGGGACATGTTTCCCTGGTGGGGTGGGGACACCCACAGCCAGGGAGGTGCTCAGGGACACAGCCACCAGCCTCCCCTCCTGCTGTTCACAGTGCTGTAACAATGCTTCGAGGCAGTGAAGGTCACCTTCCAAAAAGTGGCTCTGGGTCAGAGTCACCGTTAGGGCCCCCAGAGGGTTTGGCAGTGGGCATGCAAGGGAAACCCTGCAGGTGGAAAGGTGAGCTCGCAGGCTCCTGCTGAAAGCACCCTGACCTGTGGGGTTGGGAGGGCGAGGCCAGGTGGCAGGTCAGAGGAAGCCTGTCTGAGGCCAGCCTTGCCTGATGGGCTGAGCGTGCTTAGGGGTGCGCCCTCAGGCTGAGGGGTCAGTCCTCCAGGGACTCCCACGTTGGCCTGAGGTGGTCAGGGTTGCCGGGGGGAGCCTGCAAACAGGGAGCCCAGGAGGGTGAGGCTCAGCTCCAGTGGCAGGTCCTGGGGTGGGCGCCGGGTGCGTGTTCTTTCTGGGCCCCTTTCACATCAGCCTCACTGACAGAGTTTACTGGCCAGCGGGACCCCGCGTGCTTTATAATAAAGGCTGAATGTGTCAACCTCACACATATCCCCGTTCTAGCCTTATTTTTGTAACTTGATCCAGAACACGTAATTTGAAGAAGTAGGGAGGATACAGAAATGGGACGTCGATGAAAAAAGCTCACATCCACCAACTCCTTGGAAAAGTAATTTCACTCTTACAGTAGAAGGTAAAGAAATGGCCAGCAAGGAATTGATCTGTGACCCTGCCCCCACCCCACCAGCTGCCCTTCTTGGGCCGGTCCCTCCTCAATGAGCATGCCTTGTCGGGTCTGTCACCAGCTGGGCTGGGGGATCACCAGGGCGCCTCTCATGCAGGAAGTGGCCTGCTCAGGTCAGGGCTGGGCAGAGGAGCATTTTCTGCTCCCCAAGTTGCGCCCATCCTGGTCCCCCAGGGATCCTGCTGGAAGATGCATCACGGGGCCCCACAGACATAGTGCTGGGGGTGAGGTCAGAGTTGGTGGGGGGCCCAGTGAGCCCATCCTTGCAGAAACCCTGTCCCCACACCACCTCATCCACCTGCCCCAGACCTCTCTGTGCCAAGTGTCCCAGGCCTTGGCAGAGACACGGCTCCAGACCGGGATTTGGTTTCACTGGCCTCCCGTTAAACCCTGGTCTCTGTGCTGCTAGGGGGCGTCTTTATTCCCTTTTACAGGGGCAGGAGGCAGGTGCGGAGATGGACTCAGGCTGACCCTCTGAGGAGTGAGGGTCCAGATCAGATGGGCAGCAGCTGGTGAAGGCTGCAATGGGGGCTCCCCCAGGGTGGCAGGGCAGCAGGAATGAAGGAGAGGCTGCCACCCAGGTGCCTCACCCCATCTTACAGGCAGGAGGACCCTCTGCCTCCAGTCTCAGCTGTCAGGCTGCAGCGAGAACTGGGCCTCCGCCTGGAGTGGAGGGGGGGCTCTGTCATGCGGGGAGCTCCCCGAGAGCCCTGGGGTAGCACAGCAGACAGCTGCAGGCAGCCCCCCAAAGGCTCCATGTCCTTGCTTCAGGCCCCATGTTCCTGGCTACTGCCCTGCTGGCCCGTTCGCAGACATGCTACAGACCCAAATCCTGCAGTCGAAGGCCAGGCCACGGGACTCTCAGGACTCTCCAAGCAGGGAAGGGTCAAGGCCAGCTCCATCCGCCACTTGCCAGGAGCTTAGGGTCTGGGGAGGGGCCCAGGACCAGCCATGTTCACGGCTGGCCAGGCCCCATCCTCCAGCCACCCTCAGACCTCAAGCAGCTCCTCCGCTGGCCTGCAGAGTCTTCGGAAGGGGCCAGGGAGAGAGGAAGGGAGGGGCGGCACTCAGGGCTGTGGCCAAGTCCTGTGCCCATGTGCCCTATTTCCGGCTGATCTCCTTGGCCCGGCAGGTGGCAGCCTCCACAGCGCTCATGGCGGCCGCACGCAGCCCACCCTGCTCCAGCGCGTGCAGCCCATAGATGGTGGTGCCGCCTGGCGTGCACACGTCCGTCCGCAGCTGGGCCGGGTGCTGCCCCTCCTGCAGAAGCATCTTGGCTGTCCCCTGCAGGGAGGGTGAGGGTTGGGGTGACTTGGGGGGAGGCCGGCAGCCCCTTCTCCAGCTCAGCCCTGACTTCTCATGCACCCCTCCACCCCGCCCATCTCAGCCCAGGCTGCCCAGGCCAGCTGTCTCCCATCCCACTGCTCCCAGGAGGCATGCTGACCCATCCCGTCCACCCACCCCTCTGGGGCCAGGCAGCAAGGTCTCACCAGCAAGGTCTGGGCAGTAATGCGGTGGGCCAGGCCGCTGGGCATGCCCATCTTGATGGCGCCTTCAGCCAGGGCCTCTGAAAAGGTGCACACCTGTAGCAGCAGGGGCGGGGTCAGAGCCAGCTCTCCCCTGGACCCAGCACCCGCCTGGAGAAGGATGGGAACCTTCAGGAACACAGCCCGGCACACTAGTCACCAGAGTGGAGGCCTGAACCCAGGGGTCTGCCCAGAGGCCGGCCTCAAAGGCCCAGGAAGGCACCGATATAGGGAGGGTGGTGCTCGTGGGCAGCCCAGGGACCCAGCCACGGTGGCAGGGGCTCAGAAAGGCCCCACTCTGCTGAGGGCCGTCCTGTGAGGGCAGGGGTGGGAGCACGGGGACCCAACAACACTCACAAAGGCCACACCACTGCCACTGAGGCCGGTGTGGACGTCCACATGGGCTTCGGGCACCTCCTCACACTGCCCGCAGGCCTCTAGCAGGGTCCTCAGGAGCTCAACCTCGCTGCTGCCGGCATGGCGGCCCCGCGCCATCACCAAGGCCCCCTCCTGGACCACGCAGGGCAGGTTGGGCGAGACCCGCAGCACTCGCGCAGTTGGGGGCAGCAGCTGTCCAGTGAGGCTACAGTCAGGGAGTCCGTAGGATCGGGCCTACTGGGCAGGCACCACCTCTGCCAGCACAGGCTCCCCTCCCTGCTTCCCCCGGCAGGAGAAACCTGAACCCTGGCCCCTCAGCCACCCGGCCACCTCTGCAGCAACTCATCCCGCGCCCAGACACAGCTGGTCTGGGGTGGCCAGGGCTGGGACGCTGAGTCTGGCCAGCAGAGCCCACCCTGGGGTCAGAACCTCAGCCCCACCTAACCCCACGGTCCACTCACCTCCTCCAGGGTGCTTAGAGAGACTCCGGCAGCCACAGACACCAAGATATGCTCTGCGGTGACCACAGGGGCCACTTCCGCCAGGACGGCCGGCAGGACATGGGGCTTGGTGGCAAAGAAGATGAGGGAGCAGCCCTGCAGCACCTCCCGGTTGGAGTGGGTGGTCTGGCAGCCCAGGGCCTGCAGCGGGGAGGCCGGACCAGCCCCAGGTCAGTGAGGCGCCCTCCCGAACCGCAGCCCTCCCTGCTGGAGGCCACTCTGGGTCCTCATGGGTCTCTCTCGCTGCAAACGCCTGCCCTGCTCCCGGTGTCCAAGATCGCCCAGACGCCCCTGAGTGTCAGCTCCTCCTCCAGCCCTCCAACCCCAGTGAGTGCCCACGACCACCCCTGCCCATCCAACACACACATGTCCACACGCACACATTCCGTACCCAGCCCTGGCCCTCCACAACCTTGACCTTCCTTGTGGCCTTTGACCTTCACTTCCCCAACCCAGTCTGCCTCAAAACTTTAGTTAAGTAAGCAGCCCCAAGGAGCATCTCAGAAGGACAGGAGCCAACAGCCACCCTGGGCCCCGGGGGGGCCTCCACTCTAGCTCACTCACCCGGAAGTGGCAGAGGTTCCTGTCAGTGGGCGCACTGGCCAGCACGTGCTGAGCTTCCACTTTTCCTGGAGAGAAAGGCAAAGGTGGGGCAGGGTTGGGGGTGTCAGTGAGGAGTTGGGGCGAGTGGAAGGAGGAGGAAGAGCCAGCCTGGCAGGCCCCTTCCTGAAGAGTCTGTCAGGCTCAGCCACACCTGGGCCATCCCAAGACTCTCCTGGAAGCAGAGATGGGGCCACAGCATTGGACACATTCGATTTTACTCAGCAGTCATCGCCACCTGCCTGCTGCCGAGTCCAGATGCCCTGCCAGACACAGGGGCCAGGAGCTTGCCTCGTCTCGTGAGGACACATATCCCTTGGACTGCTGCCTGGGGAGGAGGGGGTATGGTGGGTGGGGAGGCCTGGGGGTGGGGTGGGGCCCAAACGTCCCTGGGACGGGGTGCATCTGTGCTGGGACATCCAAGCAGAGCCTAACTGCCCATTTGGTAGAAATCATCTAGTTTTGTGGGTTCATGGTTGGGAAGCCCAGATTTCTGTGCGGTCTAATAGAATGGCAGAAGTGCAGCCCCAGCTTGAACAGTGACCGCCACTGTGTGCTGCCTACACGTGCCGGGACTGTGATCCATGTGGACTCTACCCACCGGGAGGCAGGCCAGCTCTCAGGTGTTACAGGTAAGACACCTGAGACCTGCAGTAAACTGTCTTCCGATGATTTTGACCTCTCTGGACCTTGACATCTAGCGGAGGCCACGGAGAGGGCAAAACACCCTACAATGTGAAGGATGGAGAATTATCCGGCTCCAAACGTGCACAGTGCTGAGACTGAGAAATCCAGCAGAACGGCCAGGAGTGCAGCTGGGACACAAACAGAAAGAAAGAGTCCAAGGCTCGACGGGTCAGGCGGCTCCACCAAGGCAGGAGGTTGGGGAGTCCCGGGGGATCCAGGCTCTAGGCCAGCCTGGGCGGCCCAAGAGAAGCATCACCAGAGCCACACGGGTAACTTCACATTTTCCAGTAGTCAGAGTAAGCAAGCAAGAAGAAGCAGGAAAAGTTGAATTGCACTGCATTTTTTAACCAAATATAGCCAAAATATACACGTACTCAATATTAAAAATGGCTAAGATACGTTACTTTGTGAGCTAGATCTTCCAAATTCTGCGTATACTATACTCCATGCACTCGCCGCACATCTCAATTTCACGTGTGGCTCGAGTCCCACGCGGGGACGGCGGGCTCTGAGCCTCTCCACCACATCCCCCTCGGGCTGCGCTCCCAGGGAAGCAGTCCCGAGGGGCAGGTCGGCGCTCCGCCCCCGCCCACGGCCGCCCGGCCCTGCTCCACCCTGGGACCCTGCGCGGAGGGCCCCGTG